TTCGTGTCTTTGTTGCTTTGTATATTATAATTAAGCTGTGGATTTATAGGCACGAAAACTGTAGAAATAGGCTGGCAAAACAGGCATTTAATGGTGTACAATAGGCATTTAAAAAGGCTCTATACATTTTTCTTATTCTTATTTATGAACTTGTGTAGATAATTTCTGAAGTACATATAATATAGTTACCTTCATGAAAAGTTTGAATCATTCTTCTGACAAATCCTCATAAAAATCCTTTTTTTCTCACATTTAAATTAAACATTATTGAAATTGTTGTATGATTTGTTTTAATCGCTATGCATAACTCAAATGTTGTTACTAGTAATGTTACAACAGCACATTTTTTCTTGTTCAGTTTAATGAAAGTGAGATCTGTGCCATTCTTTTAAGCATCCATTGTTCTATTCGTGGGAAAAAAACAAAGCAAAAAATTATTCTGATTTTTGCGTGTTTTTTTTTTGTGTGTGCGTGCGCGCGCGCGTGTGTGTGCGTGCGTGCGTGCGCGCGTGCGTGCGTGCGCGCGTAATTTGCATTAATTTCAAGCAGAAATTCCGCAAAAGACACTTGTTTAAAAAAAATATACATGACTTTTTTAGAGATCTGATTTTTTAGAACAGATTTCATTTAAGACAATCCCTGAATTCAATATTGTACTTTCCAATGTTAACTTTTTGCAATCTTCAAAATTAGTGTTTGTGAAAAATGGAACCAGCACCAATTTTTATACCATTCTTTGATACATACAAGAAAAAAATTTAAGAAAAAGTTTGGAGCTGCTTTTGAGTAAAAAAGTGTTTAAAAATGCTGACTAACTATCTGCTATATAACTATCACCACTAACTATACTATACTATACTAACTATAATGCTAAATAACTATCACCACTAATTTTGAATGTGTTTCATGCTTTTCGGGAGTGTGCCATTAGCGTTTGCTGTGGTAGTCCCCCTACATTTTGTATAACTGGCAAATTCCATAAATTAATTATCAGTTCGATACAAGCAAGGGGTAAAAACACAGAAAACATTAAAAAATCACTATTATAATCTAATTAGTGTACAAAAATTAATAATTAAAATGATTCATATTTTTATTTTAACTCTAAAATCTATATTAGCATTTTGGGTTATCTTTTCTTTGTAATCTTGATTGCACATGACCCTCTAGTATAACTACTATGAATTTATTTTACTCACCAAACACTCCACAAAATGCTATTGTGGACTCCCTTTTGAATCTTGAAATGGTAATAGTGAAAATGGACATGTAGATGTTCTTCACACTTATGTAATCACCAGAAGGGAAGAGAGAAAAAAAAGGAACAGAGAAGAGTATATCATGTACAGGCAGCTCTGTCCTCAAAGAAATTCGTGACCTTACACAAACACAGGGTGACTCTCAGGATCGAACAAGTCTGTAAGAATGGAATGTATGGAACAATAGAAAATATTAAAAATCTTCACTGGTATGATCTTCCTTTCCCTTGTCGATTTTTAGCACAACCTGACACTGGAGCCTCCACATCCACAGAAAGACAATACACGATTGGGGCTTTATATTGTCCAGGCTTTCAGGTTTGTTTCTAGCTTGATTGAAATTGGTGTCAGGTGGGAATAAAAGGAAAATGAAGACAAAAAAAGTATAAATAAGGCAAAATGTCAAAAATAGGCATCGGAATCTAAAATAGGTAAAATGAAAATCTACTAAAACGACTTCAGAAGTGGAATTAAGTGTTTCCGATTGTTAAGTCATAAAATCATAACAATTTCCAGGCTCTAGTCGTAACTCAAAAATTATTTTTGTTTTTTTGTGAATGAATGAATAAATAAATTTTAATATATAGATAGAAGCTTAATTCTACAGGTGGGTGCATGTTGCCCAGTGGCAGAATGTAGTAAAATAAATAACTTTGGTCTTTTTTATAGATAGATGTGGCTATCAAGACCTTACATCAAGAACACGTGGATGCCAATAGAGATGAGTTTTTGCGAGAAGCAAAAGTAATGATGGGTCTTTGTCATCATTGTATTGTACGACTTATTGGAGTTTCAAAAGGTCCCCCTTTGTTGATGGTGGGTGGCTACTATTCAATGTTCTATCTTTGGTGATTCTGAAAACTGTCTGTTGTATCACTGCATCATAACTACTTAATTAATGCTTATAATTCTTTAGGTCCAGGAATTAGTACCACTTGGCTCCATGTTGGCCTATTTATTGGAATTTCCTGACAGAGTCAATCCTAATTATGAACTAAAAGTGTGGGCTTCGCAGATAGCTTGCGGTTTGTACATAGCATTAAGAGAGTGTACTTTGTAGAGACAGTAAAACTTCAATAATTTGAAATGAGGTTCACTTTCCCTAAGAAAAATCGTGCACAATCTTCTAAAAATGTTAAGAATAATGACAGGTTTTGTAGGTCATGTCTCACAATTTATATTATTCACAATTTCAGATACAAAATATTTTAATTCTACCTTAAATATTCCATCTAATTTCTAAAAATTATCACTGAAATTTTTACTTCTCTGGATGATTCAAAACCTTGTCAAATTTTAGGAACATAAACTTACCTCCAGTTTCAAATTAATGAGTTTTCTTAGAACTGTTTGTGTTATCACCTTACAGTTTAATTATTTCATATTTTATGTCTTTGATTCTTTTTTTTTTATTGTTCACTTCTCATAGGAATGAAATATTTAGAAGAACAGAGATTTGTTCATAGAGATCTTGCAGCTCGTAATATTCTTCTTGCATCTCGACATCAAGCAAAAATAAGTGATTTTGGTTTGTCAAGAGCTCTTGGAGGTGGACAAGAGTATTATCGAGCTACTAGAGGAGGACGTTGGCCTATTAAATGGTTATTCAGACCTTTGCCTTATTTTTGATAGTATTAAAAAAAAGAAGTGTTATTAACAATGTAATAATTTAAAATATCAATTGCAGGTATGCTCCTGAGTCGTATAATTTTGGTACCTTTTCACATGCTAGTGATGTGTGGAGTTTTGGTGTTACACTGTGGGAAATGTTTTCATATGGGAAGCAGCCTTATGGGGAGAAGCGAGGAGTTGAGGTAATTTCCAAGCGCCAAAGATGTTTTCATTGTAAGCAAAGGGTTTTGTGTTTAAACTGTTTGGATGTCTCTGTATATGAGACAATGTAATTATTGTATATGTCTGTTGCTGTATATGTTTCTTAAGTTTAATGAACAGTGAAGTTTTAAGAATTATGAGAAATGTTTAATTTACTGAAACAAATGGAGTACATGTAAATCTCAAAATGGGCATGGTGAATTTGACGAAGTTATTTACGGAAGAAAATTTGATGATGAATGTCCTTTTAAATGTATACATTTCATTTATATAATACATTTTTGTTGGGTATAACCTTAATTTTTGTCTCAATGAGTGGAATTTTGCTGTTCACAAAGATCTGTGCCACCCAGTTTCCTTCTTTGGGGACATGTATACAGCTATTTAATTCTCCTCTGAATGCTGTTCTTCAGTCAGCAGATAGTGATCTTTGCGAACTTTTAGTGAAATATTTAAATGTAACTGTCTAACTAACTTTAATGTGTGAATCATAACCCTCTTCCCCTATTGTAATAGATAATGAAAAATCAATGATTACAATTAATTCAGAAAAATCTTCATAAAAATTGTACACATTCTATTATCAGTTTCCAGTAATAATTTTGTTGTTTATTTTTCTGATTTGGGAACAATCAAAAAGGCATGCTCAATTTAGAGATAATAAGAATTGTTCAACATTTAAAAAAATCATTGAACTATTTAAGAAATATTACAGCATAATGCTACTCAAGCAACTTCCTTGCGTTTCAAAATTACACTGATTTGCATAGTATAGAACACAGGAATTGAAATACATTAAGCATTTTATGTTATACATTCAATGTACCATATATTGAAGTGAAAAAGTGTAGGCTATCTTCCTATTTTTGTTTCAGGTCATTCAGCTAATAGAGAAAGGAGAGCGATTAGCTCAAACTCCTAGTTGTCCTAATGAAGTATACAGGATAATGGAGCGCTGCTGGGCCTATCAACCCAAAGATCGACCGACCTTCAATGAACTCATGGAAATCTTCTCTTCTGATCCAGAATATATCAATATCAAAGAACTTGTTCTCGAAAGTACAATCAGTTGAGAGTTTTTAGTAGTTTCCAGTAATTTTTGTTGTAAAAAAGATTGATCTTAAGTCTAAGCTATTGCTACTGTTGAACATTTCTACTTAACATTGCCTGAATTTTTTATTCTTATGTTTGCTGTTTTAAAGAATCTCTAATGAATCATTGATTGATATCCTTGTTCAAAAATCAGATATTGATGTTTATACTTCAGCTTAATCATTTTTCTTTATTAGAAAAGAAAAATAGAAGCAAAGAATCAAAGGAAATGTGAAGTACAGATTTTATATTTTATATTGTTACCATAGTCAAGATAAATAATTCTCTTGTAATGCAAAAGTGTCCATTTCACTCAGTATCAATCTAGTAAACATATGAAGAATAATTTCATTCTAATAGAAATGATATAATTATTTTTATTGTGCCAAAAAGAATATAGACTTTTGAGTTATGACTGCAGGAAAGGTAGTGTTCAGTGGAGCTGCTACTAAGAATTAAAGGAACTAGTTTCCTAGAATGAAAGAGAAAAGGGAAAAAGAGTAGGTTTTTATTTGTGAGAACTATGTCTTTCATTTATCTTAGAATAATTGCTTTTTAATTCCACATTAGATCAACTTTATGACATTCAGCAATTATATGATAATAACAATTATTGTTTGCTCATTAGTATGTGTTACCACAGTATCATTAAATAGTTTTTTCACATGCCATTTGACAATGAAATATAAGTGTTCCTGAATAAGTTATCTTTGGTACATATCAGTTATAATAGTTTGTTTGAAATCTAGGATGTGTTAAAAGTATTTCAAGGTGACTTAGTTTACTTGTGATCATCTTGTATTGAAATGAGATATCAAATTTTTAGAGTGGAAATATCAATGGGGAGTATTAAAACGTGAAATAACGTATTTTTAAAGTCTTTAGAGGACTGAAAAATTAGTTCGTAAATATACTTCTTTTTGTTTCAAGCATTTTTTCCTCCTTGAAATCTTTCCTTTTCCCTTACTGTTTTCATTAAAGGAATTCAAACAAGCCACCTGTAAAGTATTGACTTTAAAGAAATGCATAGGTATGTAGTAGTTAGTACTCATGTTTTGAAGAAAAAAGAAAAAAAAGAGGAAAAAATAAGACCAAAACAATATATTAGAAAGTATTTTTGTTTTTTATTACTAAACAATCCCAACGGGCAAAGTTATATTAAAATACTTTTATTGCCACAACACAATTGAAGCTGTTTATCAAAAAATTCAAGAGAAGAGAACAAAATTTGGGTTATGTAGGATTTACAAAGTACAGCCATGAATCCATTGAAAAAACTTTCACACTACTCAACTCTTGATTTAGGGGGGGGGGACAAAAATATGCCCGTAATTTCAGAAGAAATTGTTGGAATGGTTGAAAACCAGAACGGTATAAGTTACATTTTATAAATTCAGAGAAAAACATGTTAATTTTAGGTTATATTTCAGTGACAATGTGATTTTGGGGTTGTGGCATTGTGGATTTAATGAACAATTGAAATGCCATGGTTGTAATGATGGAACAAAGCACCAAGAATTTACAGATTTACGAGAATACATAAAATGTCACTTATACCATTCTGGTTTTCACCCGTTCATTTATAATAAATTGTATACTTTCAGATTGTGACAGACAATATGAGTGTAGCATTGCCCACCAGCCTTCAAGCATTATATTATAATAAAACTGTATGTTGTTTCTGAAATTAAGTCAAATTGGCTGTTTCATGTGTTTGTTACCAACTTCAAAGAATAAACTTTTCAACTCTTCACTCTCTTTTTTAATCAATGTATTTCAGGTACATGTAAAATTTCCAAACTGATTTGATACTATGATGTTAAATTGTGAAAATAAATAGGATTGTTTATTCATTAAAGTAGCATTCAATCCATCTCATTGATCATACATATCAGATTATTTTGGATTCTGTAAGCATTTGGAGTGAAACATGTTGTGTATTTATAAAAGATACATGATTAAATTTGTTCAAAAGATTGGTTGCCCCAACCAGAATTCGAACCCGAGCCTTCTGGTTTATCGAAACATTGGTGTAACAGAAAGAAAAATATTATATGGAGGAATGTTACAAAGAAGTTTCACTGTATATGAAAAATCAAATGACACAAACAGATTACTAAAACTCATTTTTAAAGCAAATTAAAGTAACATGGAATTTGTCCGATTGCATTAAAAAGCCGTGATTTTACTTCTCGGAGAATGGTAAATCAGAATTGTTAGGGAATAAAGAGTAAAAGAATACTTTGTGATGAATGTTTTTCTGTGATTATATGCTTTTGTGCCAATGATGCAAATGTATTATCTGATATGAAGGAAGAATATTTTTAAACATGTTTTTTATTTATAGGATGCTAGATGATGTAAGCATTGTGTTACAAAATGAGTTGTTATGTAGACTTAACTGAGAGAATTGTAAAACTGTAGTTAATATTCTTATTTATGAAATTTGACTGCATTCTCAATGTTATTCATTATTTGGACAGTGTAGAGTTAATACTCACTGACACTGATCTTCTTAGTATTGTTTATAGAATCTAATGGGCATTGAACCACAGATTTATAAAAAGTTATGTGTTCAAAAAATATTTTACTTGCAAAATAAATGGTAAATGAGTAATATTTGTATTGATTATTGGAAATTCAAACTGTAATTTCCACCTTTCTTGTGAAAACCTCAGATTTCTTACAATCCATTTCCTTTTAACTTCTTTTAGCAAAGAATAAGCATAGCAAACTGATGTGCTTATTTTGCAGTCATCAGGAATTTTTTGGGTTGACATTGTTAATTATTATAATACCATTTTGTATTTTACTTTCATCTAAAAGTGTTCAGAGCCACATCTCTGTAAGGTGGAGGTGGTGTTCCTGGGCAGTCAACTGATTCCAGTTCTGTGTAATTACTGTCGGAACGACGCCTGCCTACAGAGCGACGAAGAGACTGGGATAAGCTCCGTGATCTTATTCTAATTGGTGGTTGTGCAGGTACTTGAGAACACTTGCATCTTAGCCACACCCACATACCAAGTACTGCTACAACAACTCCAATCTGTAGACCAAGAATGAATGCCCAGAGAGCTGGAATTTGTCCCATTAAGTCATGAACTGTATATTTTACGTTTGATTCTTCGTTATTCTCTGCAGGATTGGTTTCAACTGGATCACCATCTTCATACCAAAAGTCCGAAATATCTTTTCCCCAAGTCTCAATCTCCTCAGAATCTTCATAAGAATCACTATAATCACCTACTACTATTCTATCAAACATTGATCCATTGATTGTAATTTCCATCCTGCTATCAACTTCACAAATTGAAGTTACCTTTACATTTCTTTCTCTGAGTTCTTCTAAAACCTCTTGTATTTCATCATTACAATGCCAAGGATTTCTGGAAATCAATAAAAAGCATACACAAGAGTATATGATAAAACCTTCAATAAAAGAATGGATTAAGATCTTAAAATATAACTTACCCTGTAATATCGAAGGTATTTAATTGTTCAAGAGACCTCAAATATTCTATTTTGAGAAAAACAAACTGATTATCAGACAAGTCTAAGTCCATCAGATTTGGCAGAAGTGAAAATGTCAGTTCATCGATGCGATCTAACCAGCATTCTTTCATGTGTAATAACTGGAATAGTAACAGAAAATGTAATTAAGTTATAGTATCAAGCAATTGATTAGATGATCTTTAAACTGATAGTACCTGAAGTGAGGGAATGTTAAAGACTGGAGGCTTCCCAAAATGACCAATTTCATTTCCTGACAAATATAATTCTTGTAGCATTGGTGTCTCTTCAAATGCCTTTGGTATGAGAAACTTCAAATGATTGTGCCGTAAATCCAAAATATTTAATTTGGTCAAACCATAAAATGCATTTGTATGTATATCTGTTATTTTATTATGACTAACATTTAAATATTTTAAATGATGATTGTGAAAAAAGCCTTTGTCTCTTAGTTCTGAAATTGAATTTGTAGAGAGGTCCAAAACTTGTACTTGCGGAGGAGCATTAATATCTGAATTTGCTAGCCTTTGGCCTGTACAAGTGATTCTTTTCAATCCTTCCCATTTGTCACAAGAGCAGAAATATGGGCATTTAAATGTTTGATTCATCCCTGCATGAACTAATAATAACAATGTAAAAATCAGACACTGTGATTTCATTTTTCAGTGAGCAATTAATGCATTCAGCCACAAAATGGAGTAAACCTATCTAAAGGAAACAATTCCACTGCATTGGAAGTGATTGATAGATGTTTTAAAATATCACGTTGCACTGAACGGTGTAAAAGCACTATCTAAAGACAAGTTGGTCATCCCCCATATCTTATCTTTGATGGAGAAAGTGATATTGACAAATGATCAGATAACTATTTTAGCATCTGTATTATGGAACGATTCCGGAGGGATGTGTTAATGAAAAGACTTTGACTTCGAAATTAAATTTTGCTTCATTAAAAGCCTTTACTACCTATAAAAAATTTCAAGTTTCGGAAGGTGCAGAAAAAAAAATGTGGAACGCTTCACGATTTTGCGTGTCATCCTTGCGCAGGGGCCATGCTAATCTTCTCTGTATCGTTCCAATTTTAGTATATGTACCGCCGAAGCGGTACAAGGATTGTTAGCGAAATGCAAGTATATATAATCAAGACAGAAAATTGTACATTGGTGTGGATTTCTTCGTAAAATATTTCATTTGTATGCTTTGTTTCAATGCTTTTATACAATTAAAAGAATGTTATTTGATGTATAAAAATTTTGGAAAGTGGATAATAATACCAACTTTTATATATGCCAATTAATAAAATGTTGTTATTGAATGAAAACTGTGTATTTCGCATTACTCTGCATTTGCGTAGTGTAAAATAGAGTTGGTAGATTGCAGCAGGAGTTACCAACGTAAGTTTTAACGTGTTGGTATTCCGCGTTGCCTTGAATGCACGCAAGTTTGTCATATTGAATGAGCGAGTGTTTTTGGCTGATTGGTTGACGGGCGCGCTCGGTAATCGGTATCTGTCTGCTGTGATCCGGTCGTCTGTCCTGGTGACAGTAGTTTGGTTCGTGTGGAATTAGATTCTGCCTTATCACAGGTAAGGTGTGATGCTGAAAAGAATATCACCGTATGTGAGAACTTTACGAGGATGTAATCCGGAATTCACTTGTAACTTTGGAAACCACTCTATTATTGGTTGGTGTGTACCTAGATCAGTTAGTACAAGTGTGATTCAGCAAACAATGTTGTGTGAAGTCCGGAAGGTGGGCTTCATTGGTCGGATAAAAATGAATATAAATGCAAAAGTAACGTTCCAATAATTGTTTTTCTTACCATTTTTTGTAGGAGCTGTTGAAGTGCAAGGAGTGTTCGACGACGAACACGGTTAGAAATATAAAAACTATGTTTAATTATCCTGAACCTAGAAGAGATGATAAAGTTGTTGATAGTTACTTTGGAACAGAGGTAATTATTTATAATCTAAACATTTATACTGAATCATATTAGTTGAACTTATGTAATCTCTATAATTTTAAAATCTGTACATAATGTTTAGGTAAAAGACCCATACCGTTGGCTTGAGGATCCGGATTCTTCTGAAACTGCTAAATTTGTAGATGAGCAAAATGCCATCACTAGGCCGTTTTTGGACAATTGTCCTGTACGAGCTGAAGTTAATTCTCGCCTAACACAATTATGGAATTATCCCAAATATTCTTGCCCATATCGCCATGGCAATAAATATTTCTTTTATAAAAACACAGGGCTTCAAAACCAAAGGTGAGTTGTGTTTTATATCTTAATACATTGTAAAATTTAACTCTATTTGTTCTATTAATTGTATTATTCTATGATTTTTTACAGTGTGATGTATGTACAAGATTCCTTGGAATCTGAACCTCGAGTCTTTTTAGATCCAAATATATTATCTGATGATGGAACAGTAGCACTTTCGAGAACACGATTTTCAGAAGACGGCAAAACACTAGCATATGGGTTAAGCCGTAGTGGTTCGGATTGGTTGACAATTCATTTCAAGGATGTAGAAACAGGTATGTTTTTTATGTATTGCTTATTATCTGATGGTGGAACAGAAGCAGAATTAGAGAATAGGGGTTTTCAAACTGCATTGCAGCTCCCATGGATGGATATCCCAGCCATATGGTAGGGGTGTCTCAGTAATTATTAAAAATTATCTTTAGATTTGATTTACTTTAGTTCTTGTGTTATTTATGACCACATAATAATTTTGTACTATCATACTATATGCTATTTGTAATGCATATTCTACTTTACTAATTAATTGGGGATTAATTGAACCTGGCAAATACTTTTCTAATGGCCTATTGCATCACTTACTCATTAGTGTTAAATCATTAATGGGCGTCTATTAACCCTTATATTTGCAACATTGTCGCCTGGGGGCTGCGGGAAGTTTCATTTAGGTCAAGGGAGCTGTGGAGGAAAAAGTTCAAAAAATTCCTGGTATAGAGAATTATGACCGTGCTCTTTTTCTCAGTAAATATCTAGGTACTCTTAAAGCACTGACATAATTATATTTAAGAAAATGTTTGTTGGTAGTTTTAACTAAATTTATAATAATTAATTTGGGTATGTGTAATTATTCAAGGAAAAGATTACCCAGAAGTTCTTGAGAAAGTAAAATTTTCGCCGATGACCTGGACTCATGATAATAAGGGAATCTTCTATGGGGTAAGTTTTTTTCCTAAATCAAATTTTGTGTTATATGAAATTCTACGTATGAAAAACTAATTTTCAATTTTCTTGTAGAGATACCCAGATCAGTTGGGTAAAACTGATGGTTCAGAAACAGTTAGCAATCAACACCAGAAATTGTATTATCATAAAGTGGGTACTCCTCAAGATCAAGATGTTTTGTGTGTAGAGTTTCCTGAAGAACCATTGTGGAGAATGTATGTATTGTTTGTTTGAAGTTCCTTTTTAATTCGTTTGGAACATGTGTTAATTGTACAAGCTTTTTATTGTTTAGTGGAGCAGAAGTGAGTGATTGTGGGCGCTGGCTGATAGTTATGCCTCAGAAGGACTGTAGGGACAATCTAGTATACTTCTGTGATTTGGAAAAACTGCCAAATGGTGAAGTAACTGGACGCCTTGCTTTACATCAAGTAGTGGACAAGATGGAAGCTGATTATGAAGTAAGGAGAACCTTGCCCTACTTTCTCTTTTTATTTTGTGTTTACCTTGGAGGAACAAAAGAGCAGTTGATGTTACATAATATTTAAAAAAATTCTTGTGAAGGTTATTGAGTATTATTTCCTTTTGTTTGGCAAGACAGAATATATTTGTTACCACTTGAAAATTCGTTATCTGAAATGCTAAATTTAATTTTTATTAATATATTTATATATAACTACATCTATCTATCATATATATGTGTACATACAAACACACACATACAATCACTGAAATCGGCCCTTAACGTGAAACTTCAAAGATTTACTATAAGATTACTTTACTAAAATTTACTTTTCAGTTTATTAATACTTTACTATAAGATTTATTATTTTTGTTACTTCTACTTTCAGTATGTTACTAATGAAGGGCCTGAGTGCATATTTCGCACCAATAGGGATGCTCCTAATTACAGACTGGTGAAAATAAACTTTTTGGACCCTGCTTTTGAGAAGTGGACAACCTTGGTGCCTGAACATTCAAGAGATGTATTAGATTGGGCTAGTCCAGTATGCCATGATAAACTTGTAATATGTTATATTCATGATGTGAAGGTATAGGTTTTGTATTTTATACTCCATGCATTTATAAGATGGTAAATAACATCAGATTATTGTAATTGCTGCATTTTGTGTTCTTTGCAGAGTGTTTTGCAATTGTTTGAACTAAGAACCGGAGCTTTGCTGAAGACTTTTCCATTAGATGTGGGCACAATAACTGGATATTCTGGCAAGAAGAAACATACAGAAATGTTCTATCAATTTACCTCTTTCTTGACACCAGGCATTATTTATCATTGTGATTTGACCAAGGCAACACTGGAACCTACTGTGAGAAATTAATATACCACATCATATTTGTTTGCATATAACTTGAATCAAGATTTCCAGAAAATAAACGAATATAAATTGTTTCAGATATTTCGTGAAATAAAGTTGCAGGATTTTAATTCTGCGTTGTATGAGACACATCAAGTTTTCTATTCTAGTAAGGATGGTACTAGGGTGCCTATGTTTATTGTTCATAAAAAGGTATGTTATATTGTGTAATCAAAAGAAAATTAATCAAGTTAACAGATGTAATCTGGCTAGAAAGTAATGCCTGAAAGCAGAGTTCAATTGAGCATATTTTGTGAAAATTGATGTTTTATGCCTTCTTACCTAAGATAACAAAGATTTTTTCAGAAATACCTCATAAAAAATGCAGGGTTGTTATTCAGGATTAACCCCAGTTTGTTGGGATTAATATTTTTACATTTCCTTTCTTCGCTGAAAAACATAAATGCTAATGTAACAGTAAGATTCAAATGCAATAGAAAATCATGATCTCTAATACCCTAATGTATTTGCGGACATTTTCTTTACATCCTTTATGGAGGTGGCAGATAAAAAAAAATGTGGAAATGAATCTTGGCAGAGATGTTGAGCTATGAGAATTATGAAATACTTTTATCTCACAGATATTAAACAAAGCAAATTTGTAGGTAATGGTTCTTAGAGAAGTGGATGTCATGAATATAGTTTGTGTGGAATTAAATTTGGAATCGCAGAAGGTAATTATGTTAGGTGTAGGGTCTGATGAAAGATTAATACAATTCAGGGTACAAAACTTTCAGGGGACCTCAAAAGTGAGAAGTTGACATAGTACGGGAGATGGATCAGGAAGAAACAATAATACAAGATGGAGATAAAGCAATCAAAAGGATGCAAAAGAAAAAATCTTGATACCTAAAACTGCTTTCTCTACAAATCAATGATTTAATTAATTTCTAGAGGCAATTTCTGATTTATCATGTCTAAGTAGTTAGAATTACTTAAAAATGAAGACAGAAAAAAAAAAATTCAGAAGGGTTTTTGAAAAGTTCATCTTATAGTTGAATAATTCTTTGTATCTTTTGGTAGGGTCTTGTGAAGAATGGAAGTCGTCCCTGCCTGTTGTATGGTTATGGTGGCTTCAATGTGAGCATTCAACCCACTTTCAGTGTGACTCGTCTTGTATTCATTCAGCATTTTGAGGGTGTTTTGGCCATTCCAAATATTCGAGGGGGAGGGTAAGTTTTTCCCCCATTTTATTTAAGAACTTCACCAAGCTGATCCTTTATGTTCCTCATGGATGAATGATGATAATAATAATAGAAAAATGTGGGTATTATTTTTGCTTGTGAAGGCCTTAGTCAGAAATTCTTATTTTTAGTAATTCCACAATGTATTTCAATCCTATTTGTTTTTTATTGGTTTTTCTTTTCCCAAGGAAAATCAATTTAATGTTTTTATATTACTCCACTATAATTTTTGTTGATATTTATACAAAGGAAAGTTTTTGTCCTATGAATAAAAAGGGTGTTTAGTGGAACTTCTAAATTCTACAGTTTTGGAACAGTGAGAATCACAATGTAGCTTGCAATTCATACCTAAATATCTTTTAGAGCTTATTCAATTCTTTCTTTCTATACTGGCGTTCATTTCATGTAAATTTGATGAATAGAAAATCAGTGGCATCAGAGTTCCCTAGAATTATGTACTTTATGTATTTATTTTTGTATAATTGTTGATTTATTTCTTATTCGGTTAGTTTCTAACTCGGTTAGTTTGTATAGTTTGGTTCCGAGTAATTTCAGTTGTTTTCTTCTGCTACTACCAGTGAATACGGGGAGGCTTGGCACAATGCAGGGCGCCTCTTTCAAAAGCAGAATGTGTTTGATGATTTCCATGCTGCTGCTGAATACTTGGTAATGGAAGGTTACACTTCCAAGGAGAAGTTGGTGATCCAAGGAGGTTCTAATGGAGGTTTGCTGATTGCTGCTTGCATCAATCAGCGCCCTGAATTGTATGGTGCGGCCGTATGTCAAGTAGGGTGAGTGGACTTTCCTGAGAATGTTCAATTTTTTAACTTGGGTTTTCTGATTTTAACTTCTCGCACTAGCTTAATATTTTGTGTTTACTTTTTATTATTGACCTCAGAATGCAAAAGTGTTGTTTTTGGTTATAATTTTTTCATTTTTCTGAATGTGACATCATTGACACTTAAAACGGTTTTAAAAATGTTTTTATGCATTGCAAATATCTAGTACATGATATCTAAATAAAAAGAATCTTAAAACATATTCATGTCGAGTTCTGTCATCCATGGGCATACTACATGAAGAATAATATTTTGAGAATTAAAATTAAGTATAAAAAAAGTGCGGTCATAACTTTTCTTGTCAGATGTTCTTTGGGGGCTACGACTTTTACCCACTCCAGAATACAGTTTGGGAACATCTAATCTGTATGCCCCCAGAAGAGTTGTTCTGAAAAGTACATTCTTTCAGTGTATTATCAAGTGGCTTCATTAAGGAACATTTGAATGTTTGCAAGCCCCTCTTCTACAACATATGGTTCCATTCTTGCATGGTCAGACGGAAGAGCGGGCCTGATGGCCCGAGTCTCGCCACGTAAAATAAGGCAAATTCAATTCATTTCAATTCTTTAGATTTATAATTTTTACAGTCGCAGACAGAGAGGCGGTCAGACACAGGCAGATGCACACACAGACACATGCAGATGCACACATAGACACAGGCAGACACACAGACAGACAGACACACACACACAGACAGCTGGGTGTATGTTCATTATACATTTTCAGACAGAATTTTAAACTATTGTTGTTTTGGTAGTGAGTGCCCGAAGACAGAACTTGTCATGTATGAATAGTGCTGATGTCAAACAGCATCTAACCAATGCTGATGCCAGTGGTGACAGTCAAAAAAGTGGTTGTTTTGTTTTTGTAGTTTCTGTGCGAGTATACTTGGGTGTAGATAGCAATAATTCAGAGAGTAAAAGCTTCAAATATCAGTTGTCTCAGAAACCACCACAAGTGCTACAGACACAACTGACAAATTAAGTCTTTCTGACAGTGAGTTAGGAGTGATGTCCTTACATGGTCATGATAATATTCAATAAAATATATCACCGGCAACACATGCTATTCACAAAAGTCTTGGAAAATGTTATTTCTCCTTTGCACACTACACGACGGTTATGTTCTTGCCTGCATGCACCCTGCACTGAGCGAGGCCCTATATCCTGCTCGCTTCAATATATATCATCTCTAATCGGTCACTATCTACTGTAGATTTGCGATTCTCATTCACTGTGTAGATGCAGTAACCGCTTGTGAACATATTGAAGCGTTCCTTCTGCTAATGTAACGTGAACAAGTAATACTGACCTGTCGTACATCTCCTTGGCACAGAAGCATGTGGTTTGAGTTGTCACTGCTAGATCGCATCACTAAATAACACAAAAATATGTTTTTAGAGAATTTCTTAGAATCTCATAGATGGACCTGTTAACAAATCATCAGTTTCTCATCAGAAGACAGAAATGTGTTGAATAACACTGCATTTAGATAAATTTATTTGAACTGAGAATGAGCATAACCCAGTGGCAGCTAATTACATGAATAGCTAACATCATGCAAATTATATAATAATGATAAGGATAATGATGATGATAATTATAATAATAATAATGATGATAATAATAATAATGATATAAAACCGTCTACTTCATAAAACATTAAATGACCTTAAAAAAACATTTATAATGTAACTCCACACTGAATGTTTGTTCAATTAAGACCACACTGCACTTCACCACACTATGACCCTTTAATCACTTTATTATTTCTCTGTTCTTCACTGCACGACACCTCACTTCACAATATATTACTTACACATCGCTCTATAACCTACTATTCTCTATTAGTCCCTCATTTACTTAGTAATACCCTAAATTAATTTCCTGAACTGTTAAACACTACAAAGAAAGGATTCAAAGGTTTTTGCAGGCAATCTATTGTATTCCGTTATCGTTCGATTTGTGAAAGATAATTTGTCTCGATTGGTTGTCAGGAAGGCACGCAGCAAATGATAGATGTACGGACGGATGGACAGATGTAGTTTACTCAAATACTATATAAGAATTTAGATTTAGAATATTTAGGAAATTATACTATTTATTTTTGTATTGCCAAAGTATTACAGGTATGAGAACCTAATTACTAAAACAATTATGCTTGTGTTTGCTTTTGCTTCTAAAGGTGAGAAACAAATTAAAAGTTTGTTTTGTTTACAAGCCTATGCTTAAAAAAATGGGTTTGCAAATGGCATATTTTTCTTGTATCACCAGATAAACTGTCACTTCACTTTGTCTTGCTGTTGTATCAATGAGTAGAGGGCTGTAACAACAAAGATGGTCATACACAATCATGATATAAAAATATACTTTTTTATCCTCAGTGAATATGTTCAATGAGTTCACTCACAATTGTTATGCTTTCTTTTCTTTTTTTAGTGTTTTGGATATGCTTCGTTTTCACAAATTTACTATCGGGTATGCTTGGATATCAGATTACGGTAGTTCTGATGATCAAAAACAGTTTGAGTACCTGCATTCATACTCTCCGTTGCACAATGTCCGACCTCCAGATGAGAGTAGAGAGCAGGTATTATTCATCTTTTCCAAGTATTTTCCTTGTAAATTGTTTGTATACATTACACAAGTGTAAGAGTGTTGAATGTTTTGCAGTATCCAGCTACTTTACTGATGACTGCTGATCATGATGACAGAGTTGTACCTCTACATTCTCTCAAATTTATTGCTACTTTGCAGACTGCTGTTAAAGGAAATCCAAAACAAGTAAGTAAATTTCAAGCTAAAAATTCTGTCTTTAAGTCAGTGTAGGAACATTTTGAACTGATGATGTTTATTAAATTTTTCATCATTGTCAATTGATCTGATGACAACAGTATTTATGAATGAGTGAAGTTCATGTCAACTTAGGCAATGTTTTTATTTAGTTTATGCAGTAAATGAGAGTGTATGTGATGTGACTGTAGAATATAAATTGGACAGAAATCTTTTGTTTTGCAAGTTGATAAAAGTATGTGGCTTTCACTTTACAGTAACTGTTATTTTCTCATGGCATTTGTTTTCCTTTATTCAGGCATATAATGTAACTAAATTTTATTGCATTTCTGTGAAATTAACTTTCTTTGAGTAAGTAATGCATGGTGTTTTTTTGTTGTTGTTTTTTTTTCAGTCTAACCCTGTGCTTATTCGTGTGGAAACAAAGGCAGGGCATGGAGGAGGAAAACCAACAACGAAGATGGTAAGACTGAGGTGTCATGTAATTCTCACTAAGAAAGTATACATCTAGCCTAAAACACAGTTCAGGAAAAGGACAAATTGATTCAGAACTAATTGTAATTGCATAACCTTTTCAGTGAATACTCTTATTGACAGTTTTTATTCCACTTGATACCATGATAAGAAGTCGACCAATGAATATGACAAAATGGTTATTAATATATTTTGAATGTGTGTTCGTTTTACTTTCTAGATGCACAATAACTTCGGGAGTGGCTGATTTCATCAAAATTTAATCACTTGTTTTGCATTAATTTCAGATTGAAGAGAGCACAGACATCATGTGTTTCCTTGTTGAGTCATTAGGCCTTGAATTTCACAAATGATGCCAGGATTGCAGTTCTCTCCCAAATTCGAGAGATAATTTGAGTCCTGAGGAAATGAAATGCAAACTTTAACCGTTAAGTATATTGTTTGAGTAAAAAATAATCATTTGAGAATGAGAAGTGCAAGTTGCTACTCTGCATGTCTATATTTGCTATTCTGACTGTTGAATGTTCATTTTGCAGTTATCTTAACACAAGATATTTATTGTAACAGTAACATAATGAAGCCAAAAATGGTGTTCAGGTGTTGTGAACAGAAAATTTTACAGCTGGTATTTTTTAGCAATGTGATCTTGTTAAATGCTATTCAATTAACTGTGCTGTATCTACTTACCAATATTTGGTGCAAGGCACAGCTGCGTGTGCAGTTGAACGAAAAATTGGCATCACAAAATTAGTCCCAACACACTGGTGGTTGGTGCAGAACTGTAGACTCAAGACGTTGACATCCAAAACAGTGTCAAGTTTTTTGTGGCTGTTATGTAATCCACTATGCTCAGGTGTCACGTATATACACTTCCACATAAATACGGCCTTTTGAAGACATTGCCATCAACATTAAAGGTTTGGTGAATTGTTCTAGGATGGAGGTCCTACTGTTTATCCTGTGATGTGATTTTTAGTGATGCTAGTTCCATATTATGAAAAGAGTGCCCAAGTGCTGCAAAAATGTTTTGTGAAATATGTTTTTGTTAGTCCAAATGAAGTTAATATTGTGTATTTGAAAGCTTTCATTATGTGCAAAAGAGACCTAGTCACTGAGCAAATATGTTCTCCTGGTGAGAGTGCATTGTCGTATATTCCATTGATACATGAATTTACTGATGAAGACTGGTGATTAGAGAGCACAAAGTATCTGTTATAGAAGCATTCTATGAACTCGTACTGGTCTAAGTTGATCATTTCACTCTTTCAGAGGTTGTGCTGAATACTCGGTGAATTGTACTCAGTTATTTGCAAAGTTAAGTTGAACCATTTATTCTCTCTAAAATAATTTTATTTTATTTAGTGAAATTTCAGTAAAAAGTTTGTAAAATAATTGATTCTAAAATGTATATTCTTATAGAGTATCAAATTGCAAAACACCACTTTGAATTCAGCACTTCTGTTTGAGAAATTGCTTATTATTCTGCGCTGTATGAGCCATTTTTAACAATAAAATTGTGTTCTCTTGACTAGTCTTCACAAATCTCTCAGAATAAACTGGATGTCGTGTATGTTGTATTTTTGTATATATCCATTTTGATTTGGTCTGCATTTTAATTGTCTTACACTCATAAAATGTTTCTGCTAAAATTTACAAAGTGGTACTATAATAATTGTGTTCATTTGTTGTGTGTCAAGTTTTATTTGTCTGTTTTAAATCATGACATCGCTGTTGTGTACAAAGAACATTTTAATATTTTCAGTGGAATATGTAGTTAAATGAAATATAGCTGGTGTTTGCCAGGATCTTTCTATATTGTAAAAAATTTGCTTCCATGGCTGCTTTCCATGTTTTGAATGTTCTTGATTTTGTAATTGACCTGATTTCATTTTAATTATGAGGAGGAATGAACATTCCTAATTTTTAGTTTTCAAAAGAATACATAAAATATTTTAAATATGAAATAAACATTTAATTAAATGTTGTTATAGAATAAATCCTTGGAAGTCTACATAGCCGAAAAATAACTAACCATTATTGAAATTAGTTGTTCTTTCATAGGTTGTTTTTATTTTTTTTTATTTGTTTTTTTTATAATGAAAGGTTGTAAGATTTTGGTATGAAATGAGGACACTTTGCTTGTTTAATGGTTTGACAGTTATGATTGTATGGGAATTGAATTTGGCTGCACTTTCTGTCCATTTTTTGAACGTACCAAGCGTTCTTTATTTTATGTCCATGTGTTTGGAAATGTGAGAATATCTTCCTTGTATGTGTTTGTGGTTTCAATAGTCATTTGCCATTGTAATGAATGAATGTAGAGATTCATTGTGACTTTGTCTAAATGTATCAACCATTTTGCCTTTTTTGAAGTGCATGGCCAGAGTTGGGGAAAATACTTCGAAAAAGTATTTTAATTGCAAAATACTTCCATGATAGTATTTTAGATACAAAATAGTATTTTAAAAATACTAAATACTACCAACAATGGTCCAAGTGTCTTTTTTTTTCTCAAATTCTGGTTGTGATTTACAATGGATACATTTAGTTTCATAGGGGATTAAATGCCAAAATCATATTTTTCTCAATCTTAATTTTAAATCTCATCAACACTTCATTTTTATATTGCATTTAATTTACTACAGTGCCATTTGTATGAGAATATTATTTCACCAGTCCAATCAAAAGATATTGGACCGAATCTCCTGGCAAATCTATGCTGGTTCCGAAGTCTGCAAATATAATTGGGCATTAAGATAGGCATCTTATTTTACTGTTATGTCAACATTTGTGTTTCTTAATGTAAAAAGGCTATGTAAATTTTACTATCTAGGCTTAATCTCCAAATAAAAATGGCACCTTCATTTTTGAATGATATGTTTAGGAAAAATCCTTATGTACACATAAGCTTCCGCGGCTCAAATTTATGACTTCGTGGCTGTCCGAGTGACGCCGTCTCTCAGTCAACGATGCAGTGTCACCCAGACAGCCAAGAAGTCAGGAAAAACTTCGTTTTATATTCGGGTAAGTACTGTATACCTGAGACATATTTGTTCAACAACAGAAAATAAATTTAAGACACTTAAGTTCTTTGAATTGTCATGGAAAAACTACAAAATTTCCAGATTTGTTGAGTTTTCTTAAATAATTTTGCTTGTTGAACATTTTTTTATATTAAAAAATGAACATTAATTATTTGTTGTCATCTTCAACTCTTGTGTTGTTGGCAGTATAATTACTTTGGAGTGATCACAAGATTTTGAATTTTAAAATTTAGATTTTTTTTTTTTATAAATATCATTGACTTTATGGTAGCTATCTCATTTTAAGCATGAAATCTAAATGTGGCTGTTATTGCCTCACTTATGACAGAACTAACAATAAAATAATTCTATGTAATAAAATTTTGTTTTATGAATTTCAATTGAAGTAGTTGATGGCAGAAAATTTAGTTTTGTGTTATGAAAATTCAAAATTATGTCAGAAAGTGTTTTTGGTACAAATACAAAATACATGTTTTAAAATGTACTTTCAATAGAAATTATAAAAGTATTGAACATACTTATTTTAAATGCAAGTATTTTTGATACTGCCCAACTCTGGATATGTCATATACAAAGTGAATGTTATCTATTCTATAACAGCAATAGCAACAAACTTTTCTTATGGTTTGAGGTGGTGTGGAAAATGTGAAATTTTAGACATGTTTAAAAGACAGTATTTTAGGACTTAAGCAATGGTTGAGCCAGAGGGCAGAATTGTTAATTTGCAGCAGTCAAAACTAATTAATGTAGTGTCTTGCTTGTATTGAGATACAGCTGTGAATTTTCTTCTGGGTAGTTTTATGGGTAATTCCAGAACATCTATGTGTGATTCCCTTGTTACTTCTTCACAAAGTAACAGCATACTCGGCAACAAATTTTTAAACTATGGTATCCCAAACCTCTTAGCAAGTTTGACACAGTTTGGAGAGAACTGCACACCTAGTAATAAATATGTAGCATGAAAGAAATATCACTTTCAGGGTGCTCAACTTTTATATAGTACTGTAATTATAATACACTATAATAGTTCAGTGTATCTATGTAAGGTAGTGAATTCTTTCCTTTCAATTATTTCTTTAATCTTTTGTTTCTATTCAATAATGGTTTGTTTTCTGGCTTGTACGATTTCCTTTTGAGAAACCATTCCTGGGTTGTATTGCGACATTTCTTGAACATTCATAGGAAGTACATTTTTCTTATTGGCAGTGTTTCTTAAAGTGTTCAACAATCCAGAAACCTTTTGCTTTTATGCAAATCATTTCAAAGTTTTCATAATATCTACATTTATGTAGAGAAAATGTTATCCTCTTTTTACTATTGAAATACTTCCAATAAAGTATGATCAATTGTTTTGGGAGTTTTACTTCTTATGTAATCTGTATTGGTCTAAAAATCTGAAATGCAATTATTTTTCAAAGTGACTGTTGTAGTGAACGTCATTTTATTAAACTGGTAGACTTTATTTAATTTGTATACATTTCACAGGTATTTTGCTTTAATAGTTCATTGGTTTCAAACATTTTATTTCTACGTTGTTTTTCTTGGGCTAGGATACTAGGGGACTTTTGGGTCTTAATTTGATCCACATGCTATTAGTAGTGTTGAAGCACAGTGGTTTCATCTTGATAGAACATGTATCGTGTTGATAGAACATGTATCATTACAGAGTTCTCAGCTTCTGTGAATTTGAAACTTGATTGGAGGATTGGTTCCCAAATGCTTCTGGTTTGTGTAAGACTAATTGGAATGAATTTTATCTTTCCTTCAGCTCTCAAGGGCAGCCAGATGTGATCCAAGTGAGCATTATGTTCGAGACATGATTACAAAGTCAAAGAGTTTTGTATAAATTTCATGCATGGCTGAGTGGCATGCAGTCTTTGAGGATTATGTATGTTAAGTTTTTATATGTATTATGTGAGATTATTCTCTACAAACTCAGGGCTCTTGGCATTGAAATGCATAGCCAGTAGACTGTGACCTGTACACCATTTGTTTATGGCGCAATTTTATTAATTTAATACGTAACGAAATTTGAAATTCAGCCATGATTAATTTCTGTATGATTTTTTTTGTATTGTTTAATAAAATTTTTTTGAATGATGTGAGAGAAAAGTATTCTTGAGAAGCGGATTTTGAAATCTGTAACAATGAATAAAAATGTTATTTCAATTACAAAACTCAATTTATTTTCTTTGTGCTTGATGATTTTCCCAGTATATTATCCAATCTTCCTTCCAATTTCTTTTATAATTTTAATGTATCATTGAAAGTTTTGAAAGGATCACTGGTAAGATCAAGGTAGTAATTTAGAACTTATAATGATCAAACATATTAGTTGATTTCAATTTATGTGAAGGGCAAATTTTATATGAACACAAAAAGATATATAGGTGGATCGAGACATCAACTGATATCACTGCAGTGCCTATGACTGGAAGGTCCCTAGGTTTCGAGTCCCATTGGTGGCAGGATTTTTGACTGTAGCTATATAGCTAGGTTGAATTCAGCTGCTGCTTGGAGAAGAATTCTTGTGGTTGGCTACTCTGATCGGTAGTTTTCCGGGATTTCTCCTGTCAAACCTAGGCAAATGCTGGAGCAGTTCCCTAAAAAATGGGACGTGGATCACGCAAGATCTTTCCTTCCCCTTCCATCTCTTATTTTCACCCCTTTCTTACACACTCACATTTACATGCTCTACACTACCACATGTTTTCAGGAGACCTGTGTAGAGCTTAGACCTTGTCCTGGCTGGGGCAGAGCCCTGCTGGTGGAAGATACCAGATTGGGGAAAACTCCACTTGCTGACATGTAGGTTGGTGCCATACAATGAGAGGGGATTTTGTTACAGGAGTCTAAGGTCAAATAGTCAAAAGTGTCCCCACATGCACAAATTACTAAAAGTGCTTGAACGTTGTTTGAGACCGTAAAAGAAAATGTTCAAGATCAGCCTCATCCCCTCTTCTGCAGAGCTAAACACATGATTGTTATCAATTACTCTTTTGTGGTATTTAATTTGTCTTCAAAATACATTATTTTTTTCTTAAATTAAGTAAATGAATGTATTTTTTATGTTTGTAAACAATATTTTCTTCTCATAATTTTTTGACATCCCCAAAATAAAAAAGAAATGGACCATCAGAATGATGAAAGGCTGATAGTATTCTCATCCACAAAATTTAATTGCTCTATTTTACTTGACTTCTCCAGATTTTTCTTAGTGGTGGTGCACAGTGAAAAACATATCTTCTTGTGTTGATCATCCCTTTTCACTTTTTCATTTATATATATAAGCTGTAATACATGTAGTTTAGAAAAATTTATGTAATACTGTACAAAAAGGAGCCCCTTTTCACTTTTTCATTTATATATATAAGCTGTAATACATGTAGTTTAGAAAAAGTTATGTAATACTGTAGAAAAAAGAGCCATTTTGGGACCACAAAACTCATTTTCTAGATTCCTATTACTGTGAAAATGGGTTTCTCTTGCTCCCATATGAAGTAAATTATTTTCTGTACTGTGTAGTGTAGACAATCCAGGCTTTGTGTTTCTTTAATATTCAAAAAGTGTTTTTTCTATTTAAAATGTTTCTGTAAACAACATTAGCATCTAAACTATTTGTAGGAGGAAATGAATATTCATTCCCTTATCGATCTGGTTTGACTCAAAGCCCTGTAATTTTGGAAAGAATTCTTTACACTTTTGGGATTCTTTTTCATGAACTCTGTGAGATATTTCAAAAATATTCTCAAAGATGGCTTCAATTTTTTAAATTTAATTTTTAATAAGAATAGAGTGAAATGTTAAGATGGCTAAGGTCTGATTTTCACTGTTAACTCTGAATTTTCAGAATTGCCAGAGTTAGAAATTTTTTGGACCCTCTCTTACAACTTCATAATCGGAGAATAAGGAAATGAAATTTATTGTCCAGAATTAGTAAACTAATAATGTCATGCACATTTTTTCAAAAACAATAGTTTTCATATGATTGTGGGAGAAGTATGGGCAGTTTCAAAAACATGAGTTTTTTAAATGGCTCCAATTTTTTTCTTTTTTCTTCAATGTTTTGAGGTAATACTAGCTAATTACACTGTAACAGATGATACTAATGCCATTTTGCTGTATTAATTTGATTTTTCAAAAATTACAAAATTGTAAGTTTTTGAAATATCTCTCATATTGCTAAAATTTACATTATGTATTTATTTCATTCTTTACTATCCTTTTTAACATAAATAGGGCAAAGTATCGGTAATGATGATTTTTAATGTGGAAACTACAAATGGCGAATTTTCGAAATTTTCTCGAGAATTGCTGCAATTTTTTTCTGGTAAATTTCCATATTGGAAAAGAGTAATTCTCTATGATATTCTGAAAACCTTATTTCCAGCAAGATGTTTGGGGACCAAAAATTCAACACAGTACAAGAAAATGTGTGTTTTTTATTCAAACGCACAACACACGCAGCGCACACACAAATTATACAGATAATACATCTGAATATTGTCTCATAACTTTTTGTGCAAATGCTTATAAATATTGGGGAAAATGTATTTTCCTCTCGCGCATACAAAGAATCAAGTGAAATGTAGGAGAAATCGGTTACCATATAAGAAATGTTGATAAACAATCTGTTTAATTTGAATATCAAAAGAAGAATACCAACATGTCGGTCGTAGAGCATGTAATGTACAAATGATCACAAGCTGAATATAATGGTTGAAAGAGACCAGACGCAAACTTTCCCACCCAAATGCTCATCAAAGTTGGACAAATTTTACACATTGTGAAAAAAATTCGTTTTAACTTCTGCTTTTTGGTAATTTCTAAAATAGCCCATCTACCTATAAAGTGGTCCATACTGTAACGATGTCCCCTCAAATCGCTCTGCTAGGACTTGAGCGCCAGGCGTGCTCGGCAGACTTGCGCGCAACTTACCTTCCACGCCGATTTTTCGACGGCTGTCGAAAATTTCTATCGAGGTAACTCTCCATATTCAGGGATGTGGGCCCCTCTGGGTTAGATTTTTCAAATGAAATTGGGATCAGGTATGCTCAACATGCACTACTGAATAAAATTTCAATCAATTTCATTAATGTAGTTCCCAAAGGGAGCCCACTCATTTATTTTTGGATTTCTAGAATGTTTCACTTGAACTTTAAATTACAGGAATTCAAATTACAATTCGCATGCATTACGATGATCTTTCTTGATTGCTCAACAGTTTAATAGGTTTATGTTGTGGGTAAATGTTTTGTAGGCTAAGCAGTATTGTTTATTTGAGTTTTAAATGGCTAAATGTGTGCATTTTTAATGATGGTTACATTTGTTGTGTATAAATTTTGCATTTAAAAATATTTAGAGTTCGTGTTCGTGGGTTGATATGAGAATAGTTCCGAATTAGGAATTATATACGATTATTTGTAAGGAAATAGTAGTCGCGAATACAGGTTTCACCCAATAATTAGCAACAGTCGAGACACATTCAAAATTAACACAGTCATTTGGCTCCTAAATTACACTACAGGAGGACCCAGGATATCCACTGTTAGAGAAGAGATTCCGAAAGCATACGAACTTCATCAAAGCCGTATGGTTTAATAATGTTTTAAGTCTATAGAATCGTGCATTAATGAGTTCGAGACATAGTATTAGAAGGTTACAATAAATGTTATTTGTTGTTTGAAAAGAAAAGACAGATATTTCATTGAATTGCCATCGTTTCAGTTGGTAGTAAATTCCACAGAAGTTCCAGGAATCATGTTTTCTGTTCAGTGTCACACATGCACGTGCAGCAGGTAAGGTGACGTACTAAAAAACATATGTTGTACGTAGAACACATGCAACATCTTATTAAAAAACGAACTAGCCAAATAATGAATTATTAGAGCAATTAAATTACGAGTTTAGCAGGACAAATTAAATGGGGGATGTTAGAAATCGTAGAGCTGCTTTTAAAAAATGGCTTTATCTTGAGTGTCTAGCTCGAAGAAAGGTTTTATTTATTCTAGAAGACATTTATTTTCGACCAACAACTTTTTCTTGTCCTGCTTAAAGAGAACTGAAGTTGTCATATCCTCTTATGATGATGAGAAATATGAGTAGCCTTTGGATTTTGTCTGCCAGTTTGAAACTGTTGGGGCCAAATACTTTTGAAGGGGTTAATCCTCATCCAGGGTTTGAGAAAAATAAATTTGCTGACCATGTGGCTAGAACATTGACCATGAAATCGGAGTGTAAATTTAAACTAGTGGTACAAAATAATTCCCCAAATATCACAAGAACAGTGACGTGATACAAAGTTTTCAAATATTTATTCAATGTTTCTTTCTCTGTAATTTTATTTCTTGAATTACCTAAACCAATAGGATAGTAGTAGGATAAATCTTAGATTATTCGATTGCTTAACAACAAGATCAGCAGTTTGGTTCTCTCCAACCTTGTATGAAACTTTATATTGTAAGTTGACAGAAATCATAATCATTGACTCCTACTACTCCTTATTATCCTTCTGATCCCAATTTTTTTAGTATTTCTGTAATTTATTTTTGCTTAGTTAATGAAACTTCATTATCAATTTTTAATGTTTTAATAGTTTTGATTGAAATTTTAAAACTATTTTGGCAATAGCGTTGTGTCATGTTATTTCCAGCGGTGCGATTAGGTAATTCATAGAAACTATTTGCTGGTTTTCAGTATAATTATTTATTATGTTATGATATTGATTTAGATGCAGATTATTGTGTAAAGTACATATCAAACTCAAGCTGATAAAATGAAATACTGCATGCATATCGTGCAGATATCGTGCTCTAGCAAGCTAATAATATCACAGGGCAGTGGGATCTTTTGGGGGGTTGAGAGCCAATCCAAGACCCCATTTGTTTTGTACCCATTTGGTGCGTCAATTTTGAATTTATTAGCATTATTGTTCCAAATTATATCGAGGTGCATGTAGGATCCTTTTGGTGTTAGTGTGTTATAGCACACTGGCAGCTTACACTGACTGAGATTTCTCTTCTTATCCATTATTTTTAATATTTTAGCCTATTTTCCAATTTGCATAAGTGTGTTTGGCATTCACCACCCCAGGCTTGCACACCGTATCTCAGTAATGATTCGATTAGAGAGGTGTATATGATTTTCAGAATTTGTTAATTTACTAAAGTCTGAAATG